GCTTATTGTTCTTTCTTAGATCCCTCTTGACTTTGCTTGTTGGTCCCTTTGGGTTGACTTTTAGTGCGTTCTTGCACTTGGATCATCATAAGCCTTGTTCTATGACTTGGATGCTGCTGTTTTCAGCCTAGTTTCAAAGGAACAGAAGTTGTCTTCTGTGTTACAAAGGCTTTGGCTGATTTGCATGTTCTTCATGAACTGGCTGGTGGTTTTCTGCAGATCCTGGTAGATTTGAGAATTTCTGCCGAACTAGCTCCAGGCGCTATTCATAGTAGGTTATTTTTTGTGCATCTACTATTCTAGTATGTGTTTCTGCTTTATGGGCCTCAGTATAATTTTTTAATTAGCAGAAATTTCCTTTGTTGGTTCAGTTGACTTTTTGGCGTGTGGCGTGAGTACAGCTTGTTAAACAAGTTATTATGTAATAATTTGATCTGGAACTGATTTACTTTACTAAGTAAGCTATATTTTTCGGAAGTATACGAAAAATGTTATGGATAATGTTAATTTATGTGTTTAAGTGACTCAGTTTGCAATTAGCGAAACTCAATTCAACTGTTCTTCTCTTATAATTTGCTTTTATTGTAGATGCTATTAATTTATAGATCGAACGTTTGAATAGTCAATACCTCAACTTTAACAATCTATTATTATTTCGTGCTGACTGGTGGGTTCAGAATATTTAAACGGACTTAATAATGGGTTGTCTAGTTAAATCAAGGACATACTGATAAACGATCGGCACTTCACAATGTGCGCCGTTTTTAATGCAAACTTAAAATGCACGCGTAGTGTGCTTCAATCTATTCAAATCTCAAAAAGCGTATCAATTGTTAAATGTCGAACACATGGCGCAAATTAGGAAATTATCAGTTTGAAAGTTGCTCTGAATATTTCACTCACAGATAGTTTTTGGCAAAACAGGCGAAATTATCAAAGAATTACCTACATTGGAAATGTGTTGTGTGAACGCATTGTTTGTTTGAGAAATTGCTCAAAAATATAATGAGAATCAAGCTAAAAACTGTGCAATTAAGCATTATGTGCTAAAGTACAAAGTATAGAATATATTTTTAATAACTATGATATAAGTGTTTATATTAATGTCCCATTCTCTTTTAAAAATTACCAGATAAATTGCAAGTTGGAAACTTACAAACAAGTTTTCCTGAAATCTGTTAGTATTAAGAATATTAAGATATTCTCCTATATCTTACAATATAACGGACTGCTTTCACAGATAAAATTACAACTAAGTATATATATATTATACATTCATGTGATAAGTGTTTTTGTGATCTGTCTGGCTGATAACGGGCTTGAATAAATAAAAACACACATTAATTTATATTATCCACTTGAATAGTATTAGTAAATTTTGTTTTGGGGGGGTATTGTTAGAAGATAAATATGCTGAGAGGAAATGTCTTATAATATGAATTATCAGGGTTTGAATTTGATTTATTTTATACGTACCTACGTGTATTTTGCATTTCACATTTTTTCCTTTTGGCAAATATCGGTATTACTAAAAAAGCGAAGCAGTTTTAACTGGAAAGCTATATTTTCATTTTCTCAATACATTTTTGTGTATGTATGTATATTGTTAGCAAATGTAACAAACATATTTTTTGAATTAGGGTACATTATATTTTCAAATGCCTGAGAAAATTCAGACAGTGTTTCATTATATTTTCACATGGCTTATATTTGCTATAAAAAAATGTGTTTAAATAATATTAATAGTAAATAAAATGGTGGCAGGATGAATTACATGTTATTAAGAGTTTATCAATAGTAAAAGTCTAGTTATATACAGGGTGTTCCGTAGGCACATGATACTGCGATATTCTTTGTATCAAAAGAAGACGATCTGACCCAACTTTTAGTAACAATAAATGTCTGGATCTTCCGCTTTTGACGGTCAAAGTTCTTCAAAAAAACTTGTTTTTTGAAATATCGGGAGAATGGTACGATGTATTTTAGTGAAACTCGCTGTGAATTCGTTCTTATGTAAGACCCATATTTTGATGAAACAATAGAGTTCATCCGTTTTGGGTAAGTGGTGAATTCTTGAGTGTCGTGGTACAAAAACTACCAGAACATTTTATTTGGTGGATTTGGATAAAATAAACTCATTTTTTTTTGGTTGATGCACTAATCATTTATTCACAAATTTTGTGCTCTTTGTAAAATCTGGTAGCATTCATAGTTTTTGCGAAAAAAAGTATTTCTGTTTTCTTGCCACTTAACAATGTTAGACATTAACTGAAAATATCAATTAGAAAAGGTCATTCGAAACGAATTTGTGAGATTGATTAACAATTAGTTTATGCCTCGTATCACAATATTTGCAGAGATATTTTTTTGCCCAGAAACTATGAATGTTACAAGATTTTACAAAGAGCACAAAATTGTGAACAAATGATTAGTGCATCAACCAAAAACAAAATTAGTTGATTCCATCCACCAAATAAAAAATTCTGGAAGTTTTTGTACCACGACATTCAGGAATTCACGACTTGTCCAAAACGACTGAACTCGATTGTTTCATCAAAATATGTGTCTTACATAAGAACAAATTTACGAGTTTCACCAAAATACATCGTACCACCCTTGCGATATTTCAAAAAAGATAAATTTTTTGAACTGCTGTGACCATCACTAGCTATTGTTACTAAAAGTTAGGTCAGATCGTCTTCTTTTGATCCAAAGAATGTCGCAGTAGTATTTTGAACATGTGCTTACGGGACACCCTGTATAGGTAAATATATCAAAGCACTGCTTTCAGTTTCCGTTTTTAAAATTTGATACTTCAGATTGATAATTGGCTGATAAAATTAACACGAAACATCATGTCCTAAATTCAAGTTTAATTTAAGGAAGTATGAAAAGCAAGGTTTAAATCATAAAAATACATTTTTTTACAATCAGCTACCTAACGATCCTAAGAAAAATTTTAACATTTAACCAATAAGGTCATAATTTTTTTGAACTACCAAAGCATTGCTTTCAGTTCCACTCGGAACAAGTTTTATCAAACAAACACGATTGAAACCACTAACACATTAATATCAGGTTAAAAGACATAATAAAAATGAGATAAGAAAATATTAAAATTTGCAAGAAAAGTAGCGGCATGAATCTTCATGTTGACGTTTTTGCAATATCTTCGTATTGAAATATTTAACGATGTAGATTGCAGACAGCTGAGAATATAATTGAAAGGTCGTAGGGTATCGCTGAATTATTACAAGCACAATTCATGCAAGTCATTAATTTATACCCTTCCTAAAATTGTATTCCATATAAATCAATTGTTTTAATTAGCGGGAGGCATTCTGCGGATTAGTTTCTGTTTAGAACAGTTTACAAGTGCAAAGTGTAAATCAGTGTTGGTTTTTTTGTGAAAAGTTTTGAAAGTTATGGTAATATTTACCATAAACACTCAACGGCCAGTAAGTAAACGTTTGTTTGTTTGAATGTCTTAAGTTTTTTTTAAAAGTGTTTCTACATGTGTGTTTTTTACTTTGGATTTGGAAAGCGTTTAATTCAGTCTAATGCGTAATAATTCATACATTTTTTTTTGCAAAGTGTGCGGGTTTTCTTTTAATGCTCTCTTATGTGCTTCAGTTGCTTTTTATTTAAGGTTTTTGAGATGCTTCAATAAATTATACTTGCATTGTTATTGCTATTTAGGGTTTTCTTGAGGTAAAAATTATGTTTTCAATGATTTTTAAATATGTGAATATTTGATTGAACGATTTTTGACTTTTTGAATCACTGACTTAACGCTTCGTTTTTGCTCTGATTTTGCAATTATTTTGGGGTATTATTGATCTTTAAGTTCTTTAATACGTTCAGAAGTTTTTGATGCAATTTCAAAATTTAATTAAACGCCCAGTTTAAATTAGGATTTTTTGTCATATTTTGTTTTTCTAACTTTTATACTAGTTAACCTATTTTAATATGTTTCCTGTAGTTTTCTAGCATAATTTGTTGCATGTTATCACAAGGGTAAGAAATGTAGAATGTTCATTTTTCATAAGAAATTTTGGAGAAAACATCAACCAGGTTTTTTAATCGTTTAATTTTTGATACCGCTAATTTTCAAGATAAAACTATTATTAAAATGAGCAAATTTTCACAATAGACACAACTCCGTAAGAATTAACTATTCAAAAATAATAGCGAAACAATTAAGCTAACTAACTTACAAATATTCAAAATGTTTCATTATTTAGTACATGATGCGACCGGTATGCCATTGAACAATCGTATGTGTAACGACTAGTTTTCTTATATTTCTCACAAATTTCTGATATTTCTCTTTTTCAAAAATGTGATGGCAATAATTTTGTAGCGTCGACTAAAACCCAATCTAGCAAATTATATCTTAAGATTTATTATTTGTGGCGGAGCTTCGAACAACGAGTTCTACAAACTTCTTTCGAACTCGACCAAGTATGGATTGAAAAACACGTTCCTTTGTTATATAATAGATATAATTTAAACCAAAAAAAAAAAAAAAAATACGTCGTTGTTTCAAATTTGCTTCTGATAGAGCCGCTTTTCGTATTACATAAAGTTTACCAAAAGTCTTACTATCAAGTAAATTTGTCTATATTTAGGCACTGATAGCAGCATATGGATGCATACGCTTTATCTCGATACGTAAATATTTATCTGTTATGTTATTGGTGTTACCTAAAAAAATCTTCTCAAACCTCTTTCAAGGTCGCATAGGTTATACAAGCCAATATGTAAATCTTATAACCAAATTTGCATCAAACTTATCAATTTACATATTATACACACACAAGTGTAGATAACTTGATGTCCAAAACAATAAAGAGCGGTTACGCAACCAATACGAAAAAGTGGTTTATTTTATCTAACACTTGGAAATATTTTTAATTATTTGCTGTTGAAGTGTTTCAGTGTTGTGGATTTCAATTGCTATCTGGCCCCGCAAGCGATAGTACGTAGTTGCTTAAGTTCGCTTACATTTTTAAATAAATCAAGTGGAATTATTGAAAATGGCTCCAACATTGTACATGTCTGAAATCAGCCCATCTTGCAGAGCTGTTTTGATGACGGCTAGAATACTGGGATTAACGTTGAAAGTGAAGAAAATTGATCTTTCGAAAAATGAGCAATTTACTCCTCATTTCCTTAAGGTAAGGGCCGTTTCAAAATATCTATTTCAAAGCAAAACCCTTTACGTGGAACATATTCACTTCATTTTACCAAATTAAAGGAGTTTGAACAACTTGATCAGAAGAAATTTTCAAATATAAATAATTATTTTCTAATTTATTATGATTTAAAGTAAGGCCTTCTGAAGATAATGTGTCTCTATCTACTGCGTCGCAGATACCATTTTATTGTTTGCATTTAGTTTTGTTATTGCTCACATGTCACAAACATTTATCGGTTATTAACAATATTTTATTGATGAATTATGATTTGGTGTAAATCGGATATGCGTTTTCATGATAGGTATTTATAAATTCCTTAATTCATTGCATTTTGCCCGCAACAATAAAAATGTATGAAAATACTGAATATTAAGCAAACACTTTTTTTGTATGCTTGAAACTTGTTTTAAAATAATGTAATTTCTATAGTTTCCATATTTAAGTACATTTTCAATCAATTAAGAAGTAAGGAAAATTTGTTTAATTCGTAGAACTTTTTTCTATGCTTAAAGTTACATTTTTGAGCTTCTCAGGAATGGTCTAAAGACCATTTCCTTATAGTCTGTCAAATATTCATGCTTAAACACTTCTAGATCATAAAATGTTGCATCCTTTTATATGGACTGTGAATTTCAGTTTATTGCTTCCAACTTTGAGCAAATATTTTCTATTTACTAGTTTGTGTCTTGCACATTTCAATTTCCCAATAACTAGGCCAGATATTGATAAATAAACATTTCTAATGCCTAAAAAGGCACACGTTCAAACACAGTATGGCCCAAAATTCTCTTTTGGACCGTCCCAAGTTTTACTTCGTGTCTTACACGCTTCTAAGGTCCATGTTGCAACAATCTTGCTCATATTGATAAATAAAAGCAACTTCACTTTAGACGCAGTGGAAATTTCAATCTGATTCTTCAAGTAGTAAAAGCAAAAGTAATTTTTTTACTTTGAGTAGACTTTGCACAATTTGGTACTTTGTGTGGCAAACTTCTAAGACCCTCTCAGTTACTGGGTCAGAGGTCGGTCTGGTCTGTAACCATTTCTGGAACGTAAAAAAGTCTTCACTTTAGATACGTTTTGAATCTCATTTTAATCCTTCAAGTGGTTTTCATCAAATTAATTTGTGAACTTTATTTAACCAGAGTTTTCACTCTCAATTTGAACTTGGTGTTTTTTACAGTTCCATGGTCCATTTCTCAATAACAAGCCAACATTTAGATGTGTAAACCTTTATATAACGGCTTTGACTTTAGACACAATGAGGACTTTATTTTCATCTTTCAAGTGTTTTCAAGAGTGATTTTCAAGTGTTCAGAGCCAATTTTCGAACTTTGATCAGAATTTTCATAATTTGGCGTTTATCTTTCTAATGGTTAATTCTGAGCTAATTCGTGAGCTTCGGTCAGGATTTTCACAATTTTGCGTTTTGTACTTCACACAGTTTTCAATGGCTACATGTTAAACTTCATTTTGATCTTTCGAGTTGTTTGCTCAGAACTCATTTTTGAAGACCAGACTTTACACAGACAGACAGATATTTCGCACACCTAAAAAGCAGAAGTTAATTTATAGGGTTCACATGATTAGATACTATTAGACGACTGTTGTTGCTTATGTTATTATCTATTATCAAATCATGTCGACAAGTAAATTATGCTTCCACTTTGAGCTAAAAACATCTAAGAACTTTGGGAGATTAGAATGGAAATTGAAACCGTTTTTGGACCTCATCACTCAGCATTTCCTAATAAAACCATCCCTCCAACATATTTTACACCAACAGGCTAACCAATATTGTTAAAATCCTGCCAGAAAATCCTAGGACATTTTTTACTGAAGTGTGTAAGATTTTTGCAAATCAATCAAAGTAAGCAAAATCTTCATACATTTTCTGACCCGAGTTCTCCATGCTTTTCAGGCCGTTTTTTAGACCAATTGTTTCTAAGATTAGGTGAAATATTACATTGCAATAGGCAACTAGCTTAAAAGTGCTCAAAAAGATTTAAAAATATAACTGAAATCCGTTGATAAGTTATCAAGATAATATAATTGCACCTTCTCATATAAGCTACGTATTTTATATCGCAATTAGACGACGTCCACTTACAGATTTTTTTACAGAGCTTCAAATATCTAGGACATACAATCTTTAGTATAGACTTATTTTGGAATTATTGATTTAGTGAACCGATAAGCATATAATCTACACTCTTATTTCAATTTTATTTTTCTTCTAAAGAATATTTCAATCTAAAATTAAACTCTTGATAATTTTAATAAAGGAAATATTAGTGGCTTGATCAGTGCCATTTGAACTTCAGCTAAAGCTCAATGTGTCGAACCGTTGTTCAATATTTACATCCACAGAGTGTTTGCGGCCACAATTCTTAGCGTAAAATATTCGAAGAAAAGAAGTAAAATAATTGAATATGTGTACTAATAAATTGCAAAGTAAATGAAAGCGGTCGAGAAGCAAAGTCGGAAAATTCTAATTAACATGTTAATATTTTGGTCGTAAATATTATTATTTTCCAGTTCAAGCATGTTCTATTGGGTTCTTGTGAAAAAAATCCTGAATAACGTTCAATTTAATTTCGCAAGCTTTAAGAATATTCGCTTATTTGAAAAACGATAGCAACTTTGCATATTTAACCAGATCCTCATTATAGATATTTTCAACTGAACTCGACACACCAGCGAAATATTGAGGGTTATCAACTTAGAGGTCACCCGCGTTATACATACGCTTATTCTTATCACAATTATTTCCATTTTATGGTACCATTTGTACATTTTTTTAAGATTTTTATGTTGAACTGTCACTAGCAGTTGATTCTGTTTTAGCAGATCAATCCCCAACATACCATTCCAACACTTATTGATAATGGCTACGCAATTTGGGACAGTCATGCCATCATTGCGTTTTTGATCGGAAAGTATGGAGTTGATGATGAACTTTATAGTAGCGATATAATGGAACGTGCCCTAATTGATCAACGACTCCATTTCGATTCCTCGGTCGTTAATAATTTTACCAGAACGATCTTGGTAGGTCCAGCAAAGGAAATATAGAGCTTGTCGATTGAATGAAACATGTTTTCGTAGAATCCGATGCTTTATGAAAACGTTTTTATCGATGTTGACGATTATAAGGATTCCATCTACAAAACGTACTCAATAATGGAGAAATTTCTGAGAAGTTATCCATGGATAGCAGGAAAAAAGCTGACGGTAGCTGATTTGAGTCTGATTCCTTCTATTACATCTCTGGACGTAATAGTGCCTATAAAAAGAGAGGATTATCCCAACCTTAAAAACTGGATGGAAAGGGCCGAACATTTACCATGTTATATTGAAAACGAAAATGGTTTGAACCTACTGAGAGATATGTTGCAGAAGAAGTGTTGTTGTCCCTGCTAAGGGCAGGGTAATAATGATACATGTTGTGTTTTTGTGTTAATTTTTTTAGTTTAACTGTTATTAAGAGGTTGTCTTTGTAACCTCCAATTGTTTTATCTTTTATCAGCGTTAATCAAGCATTGAAATCCGGCATTTAAAATGCCAATGTCCTCAAAATTATTAGTTGTACTAGTTAATCAATACTTTGACAATATTTTTCAATATGAGTTAAAAAATTTAATCAAAAACCCTTTTCAAATATTAGTTGGAGCAGTTTTGAAACGTCTCGTTATTTATACAGGCTGTTTCAAATTCAGTCAGATTAATTCGTTTCTTTCAACTTTCTCCTTAGTGAATTCAGAGCCCAAGAGCGTGTTTTGATGTGACATGGAAAATAAATTGAGCAGTGCGTTTCGTTCTGAAATATCTCCAAATCGTGATGTTCGAATGTACTTTCTGTTTGCCCCATCGGAGCTTTGGTGATAATAAATTACGATTAATGCTCTGAATTTGGAACAGCATGTATTCTCCATATCTAATTAGTTCTTATTTAGTGGTAAGGCATAGTAGGTATAAACTTAGAATTATTTAGCTGAAAATAAAGCTCATGCTATTAGATAATAAATATTTTATAAACATCATGTTTGTTTGCTTACTGAGTTTTGTAAAGTTGTCCCTCAAATGTTTTTATCTTCAGAATGACATCAACTTCCTTTAAAATATTGGTAAATGTTTACCAAAAATATTAAATCCTTTTAATATTTCATACTGTTTTTTTTTAGTTTTCCATTTTATTTCAATCATTCAAAACGTATAAAACTTTTCGCGTTCGATTTCTGATTGTTAAACATTTTTGCGGGCTTAGGAAGTGAACGTTTCCGGGCTTGGGAAAATTGCTTCTTGACGTTTCGCTCATTTCTGCGGTGAACATTATCGAAGATCAGATAACGGTCGAGGTTTTGTTCCATGTTTCTCTCCGATGAGTGATTCTTAAGATAAAGCTGTTCAGGAGCCGAGTGTTCCAATAAAATGTATTTTATAATTTTCAAAGAAAATACCTGAAGATTGTCAGTATTTTAAGTAAAACTAAAAATAATTCGTTTTTTTGAGTAGAAAAAATTGCTTAAAAAATGTTGCTAAAACTGCAATGACCTGAAATTTTAAAGAAACTTGAAAAATCTTCAGAGCGATGGTGATGGCGAATTTTGCAAATATTTTTTTGAAAACTTGCTCTAGTTGTTTTTCAAGATAATCTTAATTTCTTTTGGTAAAAAACTGAAAATTATTTGGTTTTTGTGCCAAATTTTCGAAAGTTTCCCGCAAACCGATGAATGAGGCGAATTTTCATTCATTCAGCAAACTTCATTTTGTCAGTTTTGGCTGCAAAGATCCCATTATTGTCAGAAGAGAAGAAAATCATCAGAAAATAATGTTTTTTTTTGCGTTTTTGATTAAAAACTTTTAGTTTTGTAATCGGTTTTTTGAGAAAATCTTAATGATTTTCCGAAAAAAACGAAAACGAAAAAAACGGGACGTTTTTGTCCCGAATTCGAGGCTGAAAAAAGTTTTTGAAAATTCCTACAAAGCTATAGATTTATCTCGTAATTTATCCCGTAAAAGACCTCCAGATCGTCAGTATTTTTAAGTGAAACTCTTCAGAATAGAGCGTTTTTGAGTGAAAAGTAGAGCAAAAAAATCAGCAAAAACTAAAAAAACTAATTTTTTTAACAAGTTCTACAGGCTTTAGAGGAATAGAGAACGAGTTTTCCAAATAATTTATTATAAACTTTCGCTGATTCTGTTTGTTTTTTGATAGAAAATTATTTGATTCTTGTCCCAAATTCGAAGCTAGAATGGAATTTCGAAACTTTTTACAATGGGACAAAGGAGGCGAGGATTCTAATAAAAAAAAATTCATAATTTTTTGCGGAAAATACCTGAAGATTGTCAGTATTTCTAAGTGAATCTTTAGAAAATTGAGCATTTGCATTTGCAGAGCAAAACTGGGAAAGTCTGAAATTCTGAAGAAATGTTGAAAATATTATTGATAAATGGCCCTTAGAATAAATCTAAAAACAAGTAAACAAAGTCATCAACATTTGTCCGTTGGGTTGGCGCACCAAGCCATTTGCGTAGCACTGCGCCAACTCCTAAAAATTCATTGAGTTACCCAGGCCTACTACTCTGTGGCTCTTAAATCTTAAAACCATTAAAGATACGGTTATCAAAATATATAATGTAAAATCGATTTTTTTTTTAGTTTTTCGAGACTATTTTAGGAACAATATGACTGAATTTTTGTGTTCCTTTTACTAAGACTTATTGCTACTTTGCGAGCCTAAAGTTACACATTATTTCATTTTAACAAAATAGTAAACATTAAGCTAAACAAATTGCTTCGATTTTATTCGAGCTTATCATCGTAAAATGTCTGGTTGTAAATTGACTTGAGTTTTTTTAAATAAAACGCCAAAATAGAAATATTTATTTGTTAAAAAAACGTTAATCACTTCACAAAGCCGAAAATAAATTTAACTTTATTTTCGATGCTTTAAACATTTTATTATTTTAATTTATTAACTGCTTTTGGTCTTTTAAATGAAATTGATGAGACTTTACTAATTCAAAATTTTAGATTCGAGAATTTTAGAGTTTACGTTTAAGTAGAGAAAAACTGATTACTGTTTTTTGCTAGAATTTCGAAACAAACCAAAATTTGTCGTAGTATACAGATTATTCAATTTGGAGCAGTAAAGTTAGTTTGGCTTCTGGTACAATCAGAGGTGAAACCGTAATAGTTTGAAACAGCTTTTCTGAGTTATCCATCAAAATTTTGTTTGTTCGAATCGATTTCATTCAACTATTTATATCAATAATATTATTATACAACTAGTCCCTACTTGCTTTCATTTATACCGCATTAATTTAGTGTAGACAAAAAATCAGTTTTTAACATAACATTAGTAAATCATATAAATTCCAGTTTTAGTATAAACGAAATAATTATGCGCATCATAATCAGCAGCAGTATTGTTTCAATTTTTTTTTGAAATATTCAGTTGCTGTTTTTAAAGCATGTTACTTTGGAGACTTTGATATTCTATCTTATAATTCACATAGGATTCACATTAGTGTAAATTAGCGGTAATGATAACAAAATAATCCTTTATGTTAATAATAAATTAAAATTATACATGCAATGATGCTCTTAGTGTTGCGTCTTGAATTAATGAATGTCACTGAATACATGATTGTATAGCATGCATTATCTAAGATTCCATTTCGTTATTTTAAATCATTTGACTACCAACTGTACATCTGAAGTGAAAATATAAGTATACACTATGGCCATATCACTATACTATTTTGAGTCGGCCCCGCCAGCTCGATCAGTTTTAATGGTTATTGCAGCCTTGGAGTTGAAGGTTGATTTGATTCGAATCAATTTATCTAATAAAGAGCAGTTTGCCGAAGAATTTCTGCAGGTAAATTAAATGACATTCATTCAATAAATGCATAAACTACTAAAATATTTTCCATTCAATAAATTCCTCCACTTCAGCGAAATCCTACTCATACTGTTCCCACTTTGGACGACAACGGTTTTATAGTCTGGGATAGTCACGCTATAGTTCAATATCTGGTAGATAAGTATGGGAGAACGGACGAATTATATCCGAAATCTTTTGAAGAACGCACCAGAGTAAATCAAATGTTATTTTTTGAAACAAGTATACTATTTCCCTCCCTGGCACGAGCAGTGGTGAGTAAACTTCAAATAAAACTGAAAATAAAAATCCACCTCTTCACTTTGGTTGTTTTTAGAGGCCAGTGTTTTATGACAATGCAACTGCAGTACCGGATAATAAAATAAAAAATATAGAAGCATCTTTTGAGTTCCTCGAAACATTTTTGAGTGTCACCAATTATTTAGCTTCAAACCATTTAACCATTGCAGATATTTGCGCTTTATCCACTGTTAGTACAATCCAAATTTTCCATCAGGTTAATAATGTTAAATACCCCAAATTGGTTGCTTGGTTATCGAAGTTGAAATCTTTGGAGTTTTACAATGTTAATTTGGATGGCATACAGATGTTTACCGATATGTTTATGCCCTTGTTAAAGTAGGCATTTTTTTGCTGGGATTAGTTAGTAATTGATAACAATTAGGTAATGGATGTATATTGAATAAAAGTTAGTTTACACAATGTCTTGTTAATATTAAACAGAACGGTTTTTGAATAACTACGCAAAGCAATTACAGTAAAATGTTGTTAACCATTGACTTCGAGTTATTAAGAGCCCAAAAAAACGATTGTTCGTTAGTTTCTGGCAGACGATAGTGAAAACTGATTAAGAAGCGAGTATGTACATCATTTTATTCATTATTACCTACAAAAAGGTACTGAAACTTCTTTAGATGAACGACCGCAAGAAACTAAATAAAATTGTTTTTTTGACCCATAGAAACCCAGGAATAGAAATTCTTCTATTCTATAATTTACCTGATATATTCTTCTTTATGTTTTAATTAATTAATTACGCGTTTACTTAACTAATTAAATTAAAATTGAATTTCTTTTAATGCAATTAAATTTAATTAAACATCCTTTAAATCATGTACGCAACTTTTTTTTACTATACTTTTATTTTGACTAATAGCTTTATACGCAATTTCATTAATATGTATTATTAATTCTTTTCTCCTATTTTGAATCGTACGTCGAGTTGCTATTTTATACGATTACATCATTATAAAGTCGAAAAGAAACTGTGCTCTCTTCCAGAGTCCTGATGATGGCTAAAATATAGCCGGAACGTTGGGAGGCAGTGTTTTCTTTACAAATCGTTAGCCGAAAACTCATGAAACCTTTTATATACCTTGAGTTATACCTAAAGTTATTAGATCAGATTAATTTATATATTTGATAAATTATGATTTTTAATAACTTCCTGTCACATTTGAAATTATTTCAACTTATGGGTTGGTTGATTACTAGAATTGACTTTAAATATTCATAGAACCCATTTCTGGTTACATTTTTCATCCAATAATTTATAATTTTGTTAGCTTCAACGCCATTTTAATTATATTAAGCAAAAATGAATCATTTGAATTTATAAATCGTCATTTTCTCATTTGCATTATTAGTGGATTTAAATTGGAAGTAAGTTTACTTATATTTTAAAGTGTTAATTAACAATTCGTTGAAATAAACCATTCTCATTTATGGGAATAAAACTGCAATATTTTAAACAAAAATGTGTCTTACACTTTCTTTCTGAAATTGGAACTTAAATAAGTTTGATTTAATCAATAAATAATCAGCAAGACAAAGAAGGCATTCTAGTTTATCTATTGACTTAAAATATGAAATGTTTAACCCTGTTGTTTGAATCTGTAACTGTTATAAACACATTTACATTCTAAAATGTATGTCCAACTTCTATTTCAGAAACGGGAGTTAAACATGATTATTTTGGTACTAAAACAATGTTTCATTAAGCTCTTTATTAAATTATAACATTTTTCAATTGTCATAATTGAAATGTAGAACATATTTAAAATTTGTCGTTTAGAACAATTAGATTCGTTATCATTAAAAAATATTTTTTTGCTCATTAATTTTCTTGAAAAGGCTAAATAAGTTACAGATTAATTTAAAATTATTTTCTTTTTTATTATAAATTATTTACATTTATTATTCCTATTGAAGGACATGGGACTAATTTGGAATAAAAAAAAATGCTGTCGTCTTTTCTCAGTTACCTCTGATTAGCTTAATATAAATATAAATTGTTTCCGCATTTGAAAAACACAGTTCAGCCGGCAGTCAGTTATTTAAACGGTACAGTAATTTCTTTACAGTGAAATATTCTGTAGTCAAAGAAGAAGTACATTTACTATTTACGAAATGGACATTTTCGCCTGCAAAAGTTGTGTGCAAAAGAAAATTGCATTTGTGGTCAGCTTAAAACTTAACAGATTATTTCTGTGTATTTTTCGAACAAACGGAATATTTTCGGGCATTAGCTGCGTTATTTTTTCATCAAACGTTTCTCTTGCATTTGCTGCATTCCTTCTCAGTTGTGCGGACTGTGACGTAAACGTGCGTGGTTCAGTTTTTAATAAAATTGCAACCGCCATTATCATTTTCTCCATTTTTAGTTGCATATAACTTTTTTAAGCCACTTAAATCAATATTCCACATATTTCAAATATAAATCGACACAAATTGCAAAAAAACGCGACAAATTTCCTTATGATCCTGATGTATTACTTCAAGCTAAGTTTTGTGTTTAAATTAGTCGCGAGTTATTAATTTCATTTTTTTACCTGTGAAGAAACCGGGTGCTTCTTCGAATAAATTCCGATGTTTACCGTTAGCTAAGGGTTACTACAGGTTGATAGGTTTATTTCTTGCCACTGGTGGTTGTGCCTCATTATGTCATTATAACAATAAGTTTAAAATTCAAAAAAATGCATAAAAATTTCTCGTGAAACCATCACTTTCAGCTCACCAATACATTTGGTATCATTTATACCCATAATATTCTCAATAATTGAAAGGCCAAAAAAATTAAGCTATACTATGTCTGTAAAACTGCATTATATTGAGGCGTCTCCTGCAGCTAGATCTGTAATGATGGTAATGAAAGTGTTGCAATTTCCCGTTGAATACTTGGAACTTGACTTATCCACTAAAGATCAGTTTGCGCAAATATTTCTTCAGGTAAACACATTGTCGCCTCTAATAGTAAGCAACTGACAATAACCAATTATGTATATTTAGCTAAATCCTGCTCATACTGTTCCAATTTTGGATGACGATGGGTTTATACTGTGGGAAAGTCACGCCATAGTCAAATATCTGGTGGATAAGTTTGGGAAAACCGATCAATTGTATCCCAAAGCACTTCAAGAGCGAGCAAAAGTGGATCAAATGTTATTCTACAATGCCAGCGATTTATTCCCATTGTTGAGGGATGCAGTGGTGGGTAATAGCGTACACGCTGCTTAGTTAAAAACCCAGTTTTGGTATTTACAGATACCGATATTTAATGCTAAAGCACCATTGCAGAGTAGTTCAGTACCAGAAGACCAAAAGAGAAATATCGATAGTTGTTTGGAAGAGTTGGAACAATTCTTGAGAACATCCGATTTTTTAGCTGTAAATCGTTTAACTATTGCCGATATTTGCGCTCTGTCTATTCTTAGCACCATTAACTATTTCAAAGAGTTCAGTAGCTGCAATTATCCTAAACTGAATAAGTGGTTGAATCGGTTAAGAAGTGACCATTTTTACAGAATCGAGTTGGATGGTTTAAGGAAGTTCAGTGATATGTTCTCTACTCTATAAAAATATAATCATTGAGAAGCTAATATTAGTACGATTTTATTTTTTATTCTAATTGGCTTAGTTCTTGCCTAACAGAATCGGTTCTCATTATTTCTTCAGTTTTACGTTTTAATTTAATATTTCTGAAAATATAATGTCTATTGAATTAAATTTAAAAGTAATCGACTGAATTAACAGATGATCAGGCACACTTTCATTGCTTTATGCTATAGTTTTTTCATTCTTATTTCTTTAAGTTAGAACCGTATGTTTAAACTGTATTTCAGTAGCGATTTGTTACGTTTAGGATTTGTGTTTTCGCAAGGCAGTAATTATGGCAATAATTCAGACTTTAAATTAAAGATCGAGTCGCTCAAATTTACTCCTGAAAGCTTTTGCAGCATCTGAACTTCAGCAGAATTATCAATCAACTGTCTCAATTGCCGGGAATATTTTTCAAAGTATAATTGAAAAATACCAGATTAAATATACTGGCTGGTAAAAATCGAATTTCTTCTTCCAGTAAATTATACTGTAGTAAATAATAAAAAACACACAAGATTAATATGTGTTAGTAGATGCGAAAGTTCTTTAGTTTATCATTTTTAAATAGAAAGAAAATTATCGGAAAAGATTGGCTTTCGCTTCCATTGCATGAAACTAGTGAGTTTTTTGGGCTGTTTTTGGCGCAACACTCTTCTGATGCAAGCCGCTCGTGGTTCTGAAAGTTAGGATCTCTTCCTGGAAAAATTGTTTCAATGTTCAGACAAACAAAATTTCAGAAAGTAAATTGTCAGAGAAAATTCGCTAGATCAGCAATTTATTGTATCATAAATAGAAACGGTTCTTATAATTTCTTCAGTTGTACTTTTTATTTTAATATTTATGAAAATATAATGTCTACTGAATTAAATTTAAAAGTAATCGACTGAATTAAAAGATAGTCAGACGGTCAGGCATTGCTTCATGCTACAGTTTTTTTATTCTTATTTCTTTGCGTTAAAACTTTAATGAGATTTTATGATTATTTGAACATATTCGCCGGAAAATTTACAGCAGAAAATACGCTTGTGCGTGTTTTTATCAAAAATTAAAACGCTTTCAAAAAGCGAATGAAAATAATCAGGGAAATTAAAGCCTGAAATACATTCAAATATTGTCTAGAGAACAACAGCTACAACTGTTCAAACACTACAACAAATCGCTCAAATGCTTTTTAAAAAAATATAAAAGTAGAACAATTAATCTTTAAAATTTTTGATGTTAACAGACCTGAAGATAAATATGAACAATAAATGAAAGAAGAACTGATCTTACTTACCATATTTTCACCAAACAGGGATAAAATATCCCTTGAAACAGTTCAAACTTGGAAAAAGGTTTTGCGTGAACGTTTTTAAGTCTGATTTTTTCAACTAGTTTTCTCATATGCTATGGAGCATACAGCATTATTTACACATTTTTTGTTTCTGGTTACCGATTGTCTTTGATATTTATATGATTAAATTACGTATTCGTCTGTCTTCTTTAAATTTACCTTCGTAGTATTTCCGAAAAATGTAGATTTTGCATTTATTTTTTATTTTTTATTCCTGATCGATCGTTGAATGGTTTTGATCCATCCATCCAGTTTGTTGAGTTTCTTTATACATATTACTTTATTTCATTATTGTAAATTAAAAATCCAAGTTAAATGTTGAAATGGAAGCAGACCTTGAATCAAACCTTGACTTGTACCATACAATCGCGAAGAGAAAAGTTTGCTGGAAACATCTTCAAAAACTTTTTGTAAAAGTCTTTCACTTTCCACTTTACTTAATATTGATTCCGATTTGAATAACCACCTTTCCAGTTTTTTATACTATATTGTGTTACATTCAAAAGTGTCTGTTTCGTAACTATTTTGATCACTTGTTAAATTTTGCTATAAATTGGCCATTGGATTACTGTAAAATCATAAAAAATTGCAATACTCTGATAGATCTAAAGTAAATGAAATGAAAAATCTAGAATTAGATGCAAGTAAATTTGTTATTAATTAAAAACTGTAAATTTTCAGCTATCGCAAATAGTTTACTTGAAATTGAGTTATTTAAAAAAATCAGTTTAGAACTTATGAATGTCGAAATCGAATCGATCAAATTGATATAACGATGATTCATTCTAAATTGTTTTACATTTCTTATTTACAATCGATTGCTGTTTTACACATGTTTCGGGTTTAAACATTTTTAAGACATTCTATGAATTGGGCCCACAAAACTTTCTTTGGCTCTACTGGGATCAAATTCTAGTCGAAATTAGCGTAAAACTAAATTACTCAAATTTTGGATTGCAATCGCACATGAAGACATAAATTAATTTTTGAGAAGCATAACTTTACTCTTTGTCCACAAATTTGTGCAAACTAACGGGTGTTTGCAGTTTTCTTACGATGGAAGTAACAAAATGTGAAAAAATACCAATAAAGCATTGTACAATATATTAAAGAAGTCTGAATTACGAAATCGGATACATATCAAGCCCATGTACTGATCAATAATCTATATTTTAACATCGCACAACTTAAACAAACATATTTAATTAGAAGAATTTGACAATTTTGGTATTTCCAGCACAATAAAAAAAAACAAGGTGGTGCATTAGCAAGTATATTTTTTAAAGAAGCGATTAGGCAAGTTTGCTTAGAACCATTCCTTTGAATTGGTCCACACCTTTCTGATTGGTTTCATAATATGGTAGAGCTTGCAATCGTGCAAGCCAAGCACTTATTCTGGGATACGTATTGCTGGCGATTGGTACAATAGCTGCGTTACTACTTGATACGGTTGCTACCAGGCTAAAGTCAGCGATGGTAAGCTCATCGCCAGCTATGAAATTATGTCCCTCCAGCAGTATTTCCAATGACTGATAGGCTTGCGTTATGAGGTCGGCCTTATCCTTTTCAATCGTTTTAGCTCCACCTCTTAGTAAAGCACCCTAAAAGCATTAAATTTATTGGGATATAACTTAACATCAAATTGGTTTTAATTCTTGTAGAGATTAAATCTTGTAAAAAAGTTTTCAACAATGACATCAACTTTATCGGTCGTTGATGTTAATATAAAAGCGATAAGGACTGATAATTAAAATGGTGTTAACAGATTAGAAATGTACTTACGACAACAGCACCTACTCTGGGAAATACAATTCCCGAGTCGAAATGTAATCGTTGGTCCACAATTGCTCGCTTCTTAGCATCCTTGGGGTAAAGCGAGTCATTCTTACCATATTTATTCACCAGGTATGCGTTTATAGCGTGACTGTCGAAAACAGCTAAATCTCCGTCTTGAAGGGTTGGAACCGTGTGTAAGGGGTTAATCTATACGAAAAACAATTATTTCAGTAAATTGAGGACAGTTGATAATTAAAACTGTGTTTACACACTAAATTAAAAAAAATTAAAATAATAATAGTGTCATTAAACTTATTTTACCCCCAATTTTATTTTCTCTTCGTATTGATGCCGCGATAAAAATGACTCAGTTATCGTTTTTCAGCACATTTTTTAGCAAGGAAATTGTCGTATTTGGACAAATGATATTTAAATGATTTTGTTTATTTTGACATGCATAATTTACCTTGAAAGTACATCTTGAAAAACCCTTAATAAATTATTATCATTGTTCATTTTTGTTTTTCGAAACGCAGTTATAATATGCAACGTTGAAGCATTAGGTGTTTGTATATTATAGAATAATCTGTTAAGCTTTTTTGTAAATTTTATCATCTTAATAACTATTTTAGAATACGCTAAAATGGTTTTTTGGTTTTTCAAGCTTCCACTTGAAGCGCAATTCACTTCCTAACACTGTGTGAATTTGATCCTTCAAAAAATGTATTAATTTTGTATTGTTAAATACAAACATGGCGGTAAATATAAATCATATTAAAAAACAATTTGTGTAACTAATTTACTATGAGATGTGTGGGCTACAATGTAATTTTTGTTAGCATGGGGAATTCGAAATTCTTAAAATATATGAAATCGCTGATTTAAGGAAGCAATTTAGGTAAAATTTCAGTTGTAGAACGGATTTAATTTCATTAATAAATAATAAATTAATAAGCATGGCTTCAAATATATTTTTTAAAATTCAGTACTGTTTAAAAAATAATTACGTCACTCGTATACTATAATTCGGAGCAAAACGTGAAGGAACCATTCCACATTTTTGTGTCTCATAAATAATTTAATTTACAATTTTTTTCGGTTGAGCATTTGTTACTTAACTTATAATACAGGTAAATTTCATTGAATATCGATTGAATAAATATTTTAACCGACTAGTTAGCTGCTGAAACAATTTTTGCTATTTCAAGGTCTAAGATACGGCAATGGACTATCTGAGCCGTTAATAATTAACAACAATTATCCACTTGAAATTGATATCAGTGGCTTGCAATGACAAATTGGAGTTACCAATTTTACATCCTATTTCCACATCCTTTTTAGGAAATCATTGTGGCCCAATACGTTTCCGTTCTTGATAAGTTATGGGGAATTTCCAAATTACCTCATTCTTTAGTCCGTATAATTGGTAATATTTGCTGAATCACTACTTGAAAAATTAAGCTAATTGTTTTGTTTTTTAAAAGTGTGGATGACTATCTATGGGACATTATCGGCTTTTGTATTGTCAAATAATTTATAAATAATACACCGAAAATATATTGCAAAATTAGTGTTATGTTAGTAGCGTCGTGCAAAACATGTTTACCGTTCATGGAGAACAACTAAATAAGTACTTAAGTGAAGATTTGGGTTAAAAATAAGATGTCTACCACAGAAAAAATCTAATTTGAACATTATCGGTTAAAATTGAGCAATAAAAACTTTAAGTAAACATTTTCTGCTCAACAAATGCGATGTGCGATGTGCAGAGTGCATAAGTTGCTTTAAAATAACATCTCTCTCACTCCACTTGTTTTCCATCAAGGCAATTTATCTTGAGAAGTGTAAATATTATTTTGAACAAAATTTGACATTCTGGAAAGGGATTTAATTATTTTCTAAAATAATCAGCATTGAGTATAAGGCAAAGTTGATTCAAACATTGATCAACTTTTAGCCATGTCTCAAGGGTTCTTGAGACATGCGATCTAACAATGATTATATTTATAAACTTCAAATTCGATTTGCTTAATAGTGGGATTAAGAAATGATAGATAGAAACAATTTATTTTTCTAATATTTTCAATTATAGGACGAAACCCTTGAATCGAGGTGAAAAATCGTCTTTTAAGCGAAAAATCGTTTCTGTTTTAAACTTTTTTCTTTCTGTGCATTCGAGTCTGGTTCTATTCGAGCCAGAACTTCAAGCAGATTTGAAATCCAAGTAAAGACGAACGGTTTAATAAAATAAAATTTGAACTACAACCTGCTAATTGAAGTTATTTGCAACATTTTCACTTCTTACCTTTAAAAATTGCGGAGTTAAGTGTTCGCCAGCTGCAAGATTAACAGGAATCAATTCCACATCCAAGCCCAATGCAGCAATAGTCAGAAGAGTGGATCTGGCAGCAGGACTAGCTTGAGCGTAGAAAAGTTTCGGTTTCGACGACATATTTTTTTGACTGGTAAAAAATGTAGATCTTCACTGGACAAAGAACCAACGGAAAATGAACAACGAAAAACACAAACCGAGCAGTGAAATGACGTCCTTGAACTACTAGCGTGAAAATCAGAATTGAAACGTTTAGTTGGATGAATGTTGTTTTATAATAGTAATCCACAGTTAAGTGGGAAGTATTCTAGATAACGCTAATTGCTTAGTCATTCCGTGTTGAGTAACAGAACTATTGATTGTACCCTTAACACTGGTTTTTTGCTGCATTGTTGTTTTTTTCGCCACTGCGTATTGGGTTTTACCTTGAAATCTCAGCATGGATTGTTCAACGAAGAAGGAATTTTCGATTCTAACGAAAGTCATTATTTACACCCATGTTTATGTTAATCAGCGTAGTAATTTAACCGGTTTTGATACATAATTGGTTAAAATAGAGTTTAGGAAATCTCGTTTTTTCGTCCAGGTTTGATTCTTTGTCGTCAGACTTGAGCAAGCTTGCTTTAAATCTTAATTAGGTCGAGAATATCTTCAGACGATTTTTATCTGACCAGGAATATGTGTTTTTGACATAAATTGACCACAGAACACGATCCTCAGTTAGTTCCACTGAGTCACGGAACACCCTGTATCTCGTGAATTTATAAAGATTTACCTGGAAAATAAAACGACTAAATTTTACTAATAAGTAACTTTACAACGTCTCAAATGAGTACATTTTTATAACGCCTTATAGATCGGAAACTAGGTGTTTTTCAAGCACGGAATATTCAAACATTTGTATAAAATAACTTGTATTCAAATCTCCTGTAAGGAATACATCGAGAATTGTATCTCCACTTTGCATATTTTCTGATTGCTCCCAAACTGTAGGAAACTGAATTAAAATAATCACATACATAACTATGTGAAATCTCCAGTCCAAGTTTCCATTTATAAAAATGCACAAACTTTTCTTGAAAAATGGCGATCTATTATCGATTTTGGTGCTGGTTTCGTGAATGTCCAGACTTTGAACCATTTAGCTGATTCACGGCCTTGGATACCAAAAATGTATAAAATGTTCGTTATTTTCTCAATTTTATTTTATACTTTTAATATCAGAAACTACATTTTTGTTTTGACGGAATATAAAGTGAAATCTTCATTTATTTAAAACATTTTACAACTTCCAGATTATTTACTCTTGTCCATATGAAACAAAAACAAAGCAAAATAGATAATAAAAAATATATTTAAGTATTTAAATCAAGCACACTTAAAATTAGTGACAAACGAATATTTTACAATTGTTCAACATTCAAAACTAAACTTTAACGTAACAAAGTTTACTTACATAAATACGTTCAAAAATATATAAATTAATTTTTGCAGAAAGTAAAACATGGGCCAATAGAAACCCAAATAAAATTCTACAGACATTTTAATGTTGCAGTTTATAATAAACGCAAAGGTTTCAAAATGAATGAAGGGTAGACATATTTATAAACTGGCTACTGGCTAATTTTTGTCTGTTAAACAGAGGATAAAACTGTAGGACATTTTTAGACCCAATAATGAGAAACTTTATAGAAACCCAAACAAATTGGCTTGTAGCCCAACAAAAAAATTGATAGATCAAGAAACATTTACACAATTTTCGTTATAGACATTTTTTCTCCAATTAAAAAAAAATGGATTATCTGCCTCTTAAATTCGTTTTTAGCGTTATAATGTTGCGACAATTGGCTACTAAACATGTTTTTTAGTCGTTGTCTGTTTTACTGTCTGAATTACAAACGCAAGTCGGATTATGTTTAGACATAACCCGATTACTTTGATTCCCAATAATAATTAGGAACTTTTTTGTTAACTATAACTATTAGAAGCTCCTTAAATAAATATTGCTCATTAATAGCAGGGAAATTTAATAATCTTCAAGTTTTATTCTCAGGCCATTTTTCAGTGCTACTTCCCCTTCCAGCGCAGCATCGTAGAAATCGAAAGATTTAAGGTGCGAATACCACTTCTTTAAGCATGGAAATTCCTGTTCATCAATGGGCATAAAGGCGTTTTGAGCTATCATTGTCGCAAATACACTTATATCAGCAATCGATAAATCAGCACCAGCAACAAATTTGTCCTGCTTTAAAATCCTTTCTAAGATAATATAACTGCTTTTAGCTCGTTCCAATGTTTTTGGATCAAAGTTCTTTTGGTCGTCGTAAAATATGGGTCTCTGGAAGAAATCGGGATTGCAATTAGAAAGAAGCAGATAATATCTTATAGTTACTAGACAGTCGCCCATTCTTCGAAAAAGCATCCCACAGTCAAAATTGAGAAATTGAAGAATCTTGAGTTTTTCTTTGAGGTCTTTCGGGTACAAATCAGTGTCCTTTCCGTATTTTTCTTGCAAGTACACCAATATAGAGTGACTATCCCATACTATAAATCCCTCATCATCTAATGCTGGCACTGTGCTAGTGGGATTAATCTAAAAAGGAGTATTTATATATATATTTGTTAGTACATATCTATATTCTTGTTGTAGCAAGCGCTTAATTCATTAATTTGTGATATACATCAGTCCATTAATAAATAATGTAAATACGCAAAGTATTTTTTCGTTCTAAAGCCACGATTACCGATCAGCTTCATGAAAGCTTGTTCGTAATTCCACGAGTTTGAAGAACGAGAGAAATTGGACGAGCACAAAGGATTTCTTGAATGTAAAAACTACTTATGATGGCGTATTCTCACTATATTTCTTTTTCCTGCAATGCCACCAAATCGATTCAAAGAACAGTACTTACTGTCTAACCATTGTACATATCTAAGTGATTCCTTACCTTGAGATACCATTCAGAGTAATTCTCCTGTTTAGAAAAATCCAATTCGTGTAGGTCTAAGTAAATGTTGAAAGCTTTTGCAGCCATCAAAACCGCATTTACTGGTGGGCTTCCCAATGTGATATACAGTTTTTTCCCCATTATTTAAAATTAAATTAAAGGCGATTGTTAATCTAGCGAATTTCAAGTGTTAATAAACGGACAAACGGACTGCACTGGCGGACCATGCTACAGTAAACTTCTCATGTGAATTTACTCGGATTTTATGTCAGGACTGTACTTTGTATTCAGTCAAGATGCTAGTCGAAAATGGCCAGTTGCTTTGGTTTAAAATTCCCAAAGATGTTTATATTTCTTTGTACTTTAGTTTATTTTTATTACTTCTGTGTTGTTTTAATTTATTACTAGGTTTTCCCATTGCTGAAAGCCTTTATAGTGCGTTCGCTCATTTTTATTCTCAAAAGAGTCTCAAAGCTATTGAGCAAATCAGCCTACGCGAATATAATCAGGTTACATCAACCAAATGTTTACATATTTTAGACGGAATAAATCGAACTTCTTGCTATTTATCTGGAGAAGTGCAAAATAATTCAAAACACAATGAAAAATATTCTATTCTAAGTCGTGGTTAACAACCCTACTTAATTCCTTTAAAAATTATTCATTTAAATTTGTTTCCAGTTTATTTTATGGTTTTGCCGAATAAGAATAATACACCTCAAAATACGAGTTTTATCTATTTTATTGTATAATCATTAATAAGCCGATAAGAGATTATATTAAATATATAACTACAAGAAGACAAAACATGGACGTACGTTTGTTTGTGTTCACACTAAAAACAAAATCAACTACAAATTAATATGCCCAACTTTTTGTCTAAAAACAACGATATAAAAATAAAAAACAGCATTAGAAAAATAAATATTTTAGGAAAATATACACATTTGCACTAATTCTTAAAAATATGCAAATGTTAAGAATAAACTATCAAATAATATTGCACAGTGTTCCTAACTATATAAATAAATTAATTGAAGTATTATGGAGTACATAATGGACAATAGTTAGTTACTTGAATAAAACTCTTACAAAAACACCCTTTTTTCGAGTTTCATAATCATATCATTTTCGATAATTTCAAGCGATTTTTAATATGATAATTAATGTGAAAATCAATCATTAATCAATCAAAGACAAACTACAACTAATAGTTTTTCATATTTCCGATTTTGACAACGTTAATTTCATATTTTACTGCAAAAATCTTTACATATACCATATTCAGTACTTTGTAACTTTTAACGATAAATCCTATGGACTGTATATGCAAATACATATTATTCCTTTTTTCTTCTAAGCAATGAAACGTGTTTTCACGGATTTTGCTAAAATTTTTTCTTATGTGAGGCTAGTCACTATTTTTATATTATTTCCATTAATATTTCTTGTTTAAACTGACAATTAAATTAATTTAAATTCGCCAAATTTAAAATAGCCAATATTTTTCACAGATTGTTGAATAAATATAAATATAATAAATAACTGAAAAACATCAAATGCGGTATTACTTCAAAAATATTAAATTTCTGAAGTTCCAGTAATAATTTCGCAACGGTAAAGCTGGTAATGGCACCAGCTGTACCAGCTCCATTGCTCTTACCTATTATCGTTACTTTTTCTCCATTCTTGAATAAAATTGTAAAATAAAATTAAAAAATCACCATACTGAAATTTTATCAACAATATGTAATAAACAAATTAAAGATGTATTGACTTAAATCCAATATACAGGGTTAGGTATTTGCAACTTTATAATTCTTCAGCATAAAAAAAGAAAAAGTTAATCAATGTCCAATAAACTCAGCCTCATAAATCGAAGACAGCTGTTATTTATTACCTGATTCAAAATTTCATGGATATTACGAAAGAAATATTTACAGTCACTTTGTATACACTACTATAGACTTGATTCGCGGAACTGAATATGTAAGAACGTAATTATATATTTAACAGATGCTCTTCTGTAAGGGTGTTTGCTGTCAGTTTCCGAACTTTCACTACATTTACATTTGATGACGATTTGATTTTTACTATTAGTGTGTAGTTTGCATGTTGACCATTAGATGATTATTTGTTTGATTTCTGTCTGTTTACCATAACACTTTTGATCAATCTCTCTTCATTCAAAGTACAACTGAAATATAATTATGACTAGCAAATAACGCTTAGTTGATTCCTACGTAGACGGAAAAATTATTAAGTCAAACGCTTCTTCAAGTAGAAGTAGTAAAGGGATTACTATTGATGGTGAACTGTTTGCAAATTACTTGATTCTTCAGCGCTTTCAACTGGATTATAAGGATGTTTTCCCACATTTTCGTATCTGACTCTGGCATGATAACCACTCTTGTCTGCGTAGTAATCCACCCGTTGCTTGCGACCATCGGGAAGCCTCACGTAGTAGTGACCTTTAGTGAGCTTACCATTTCGCTCTTCTTCATGCCCAAAATCATTGCCATGCTTTTCGTCCAGGATTCGATACCCAAACGCGTATTTAGCTGCGTACTGTTGATGCTATGAAAAAATATAGATTTATATGATGTACTATAAAACTTTTATAATAATCATGAATAATTATTTCTTGCATAGAAATTGAAATTTTCATATGCCTAATCCTCACTGCGAACGTGCTTTGGCATGGATTCTTGTTCTTTAAGGCTTGCCAAACCGGGGAATAATGTCTAAATAAACCAGAATTTCTCTTTTGGTGTTGATCTCTCTTAAATGAAGACGTGATCATGTTTTTGCTCAGTACGGCAGATATTCATAGCACATGAATATTGGATGTGCATGATCGCAGTTTGTTAAATTAATTATATTTTGCTTGTTTGGAAAGCTGTAAGCGTTTTAAGGGTATATTTCGAATTTCAATTTTGTTTCCCAAATGCAACATAAATTTACCGTAAGCACGCAAAAAAATTGTTTGATTAATGTTAAAAAGTAATCACAAGTTCATTAGATTACAAGAACTTTTCAATAGATATGGTTCAGTAGCATTTTGTTATAAAGCACTGAAAATTAGATAATATAATTAATAACAGGCATTTTTTAGAATCCAAATGTGAAATATCATCATTTTGATAATAATTTGCAAAATCACATCTGTTCAAAAGCAGCCTTGCCTATCATAGTAGGTTTAGTAAGAATAAACTGACTTAAACATACATAAGTACGGCTCTGGTTTAAAAATATGTATGTCTTTTAGATATAAAATTTATTATTTATTAAAATTTTATGTTGACTTATTTTTGTATTTTTGATATATGTAAATTTGTCTGCCATATAGTTTACTTCAGCTTGAATGCTTCGATGCCAGGAATGCCTCGGCCCATTTTGTATATATTGCATTTTTACATTAAATTTGATTACATTTTCTTTAATTTTTTCAGTAGTTAAAAAATGAAAGATTACGTAAAAGTTATCAATAGGGACTTCGACTTTAATCACTAGTCAACAAAACGCCTTGTATACAGTGTGGCTACATTTTATTGTAAATTTTTGGACAAATAATAGGTAAACAAATAAATAGGTCAAAATAGTTTTGCATGTTCTTAAGTCTCAAATGCAATTATCAGATGTTAATTTTCCAACAATAAAGTGCCTTTATTTGATGCAATATCGAAAATTATTATTAAGAAAAGTCTATCAGAACTAAAAACTTATGCAATTACATCCTGCTACTTAAAAAGACGTTTTCCTATTTTTGTCTCAAGTATCAATGCAAATGTAAGTGTAGCTACGTGAAATCTAATATTTGTATTTAGTGACATTTCAAATAAAGTAGTTTAATATAAAGTGAAGATAACATTGAATTTGTATTAATTGTGGGTGACAATAAAATTATAAAGCTTATCGCGAAGCTGCAGACATTTTTAATAAACAACGACAGAGAAAAATCTTCACTATGGCACAGTAAGGAAAGTATGAAAAAAATACAGACAAGTTCAAGACTTTTGGAAATGCAAGTAATATTTTTTTTAGTAGCAGAACGCAATTGCATATTAGAACGTAGTTTTAAATTCTGGTTAACTATTTTAAATAACAATTTACAATACTGTCAAAAATAAAGACACTTTACCCGTTAGCAAAATTCAAATTTTTTAATAAACCGCGCTCACAAATAAAAACATGCAAAACTTTTTATAAAGAATAACTTTTTTGGTAAAATTAATATTAAAAATCCCATATGTTGTCAATTTTACTAGACACACGGAAGGCGGAAAATATTATTTAGTTTGAAAACCATTTGAACATCCAAAAATATATAGCAATTTAATTAAGTAAATTATTATTCTTGTGCACCTATTATTTCCCAAATAAGACATTTTCCTAAAACATGTTTTAAAATATGTTTATTTGAAAATATCTCAGGTTCTCTAACCAATTTTGCATATGGGACACCATGTAAATATGAACATTATGAGTATTCAGTATTATACAGTTAAATCGCCTGCAAATGTAAGAAAATGAGAATCAGATGGGATGATTAGTTAAATTAAAGATATTTGTATAAAATGTAAATTTAGTATTCATCTACTGTTTATACAGAAAAAGAGTTAAAAGTGCGGTGCGTAATTCCGGAATTACGTGATGCAAATGTAAAATTATTTTTGGCCATTTTTCATTAATCGCATTTTTTGCTATATGTGTATATATTTATCTACTGACAATTTTTGACTCAAAATCAGTTATCTACTGTTATTTTTTAACTTCATTTAAAAATAGGGTTGCAAATGCTAGAATTCGTTATACAGGATTTTATTAATTCAAATATGCAATAAATAAGCAACAAATATAAACATTTTCATTGTAACTACACATGCATAAAACTGAGCACTAATGGCATGTACAGACAGCAGCATAAAATTAATTTAAAAAGTAAAAATTTGTAGCCGAAACCATAATTCTATATTACTTAAAAGGCTATAGAAGATTTAGCTGTTTAGTGGCATTTTGCAAGTGGCTTTATTCATTTTAAATCATTGTGTCTACTTTTCAAAGAAACACTTTTTAATATTTTGCAGGTGAATATTGAAGTCTCTACATGATCAAATACTGGTATAAGAACTTGAAATATGGATTAAGTATATGTATATCTGTATTCCTAACTTCTTTGACGCTTTTTTTTAGATCCATTATTTACCGATGTGTTTCTGAATTTTGCTTAGATTTTTGGTAATATGACAGTAGATCATGATTATTGTACTACTTTCCGTAAATATCTAATTCGATTTTACTCCGATAATAATTAGTAAGAATCTTTTGTGATAATGCTTTTATATTTTTATTGGACATGTAAACAGCAATAACATTTGAACAAGTAAGCGAAAACATTACACTATGAAATCAATTCCCAATCAACAAACACTTAATAAATCAAACAAAGCGCTCATTAGCACCATAATTATGCCTTGATTAACTAACTTTTGACATGTGAAATGTTTTTCGAGCTACCACTTAACGGTTTCATACCTAAATTAAAACTGCAAATTAACGCATTCATCAAGAAGATACAGATCATCAAGACAGCTGTAATATACTTTCTGTTTATCATTTTATTGTTAATTAAAGAAACACTTTTACTATCTATCTACGAATTTCCAACGTATTTTCCCAAAACTTTATTCAGTTCAGGTTTTTAGTTTTACCCGCTTGGTTTTCTTAGGTACACTGTGAATGATTACTATGAATGTGTTTTGTACAAAACATTTTATGAAACTGAAACAGCGGAACCTACATTATTTTCTCGTAAACAGATGCAAGTTTATTTTCAATTGTTGCAGCTTAAAATGACTCGATTAAGTTAGGTTTTCTCGTTGCAAATCGCCACATAAGTTTAGGTCTTGCTATGAACCGTTTATGTTTAAATATTTATAGCAATCAGTGGCAGACTAAGATGATCAAGATGTGCAACAATTACTTTGGGGCCTTAAAAGACAAATTAATATGTTTTTGATGTTCTGGGCTTCACTTATGTATATAAATCAAAGCTTTACTTACTTCGTCCTCATCATTCGGTTCCTCTGAGTAGAGTTGATTAACGGTGGCTGGTGATGGACTGACATGGATTGGCTGATAAGTTTCTCGGATTTGTTCTTGTTGAAGTAAATTGACTATGGTCGGTTCGGTAGGTTGCGGAGCTGTTTTCGTATAGACACTTTGAGCACTCAGGTGCGGTGTGTAGGGAGAAACTGGAGAATAATTTTGAATATCTTTTGGGTTGTATAAAGGTGGAACTGCAGAAAGATACTGAAGTTTGGCCGGATCCTCCACGGAATTGGCTAAGGCAACTGGCCGGTAAATTATTCCACGAGCTCCTTGAATTCTTGGTTTGACATTTCGCAGGTCTTGAAGACTGGAAGCGTAACTTCCTCCATAGTGTTTTACTGGATTTACTATCAGCTGATCCAGAGGTCGTCCTTGTAATGCCGAAACTTCCGGCTGCTCAACACTAGCAGTTTGTTGTGGATGTTCAATCGCATTTTGATGAATTTCTTGATCGATTTCCCGTGGGTTTTCTTCGGCAATTGATTCTTGGGATGGGCTGTTAATTGTTATTACGCCACCATTTTCGGGAGGCTGGCTATGGATTTGGGAGCCTTGCAGTTGCTCAGCACTCAAAGTTGATAGTCCTTGATTATGAGCGGCAATTTTAGCAAATGCTTCTTCTTGAGCTTTCTTCTGAGCCAAGGCTATAGCTTGGTGTTGAGCGTGAACATGGGCTTCGGCTTGCTTCTGAGCAGCAGCCAAAACTTCCTCTTCTTGAGCTTTATTGACTGCGTCAATTTGCTGTTGTAAAGTCTCTAGTGACGGAGTACCATTATGTTGTATATGAATACTAGAAATGTCCTTAACATTTGAAACCGGCAAGCTGTTCTCAACAACCGGTTTACCATCTTCTAGAAGCCTTTGCAGGCCCTGCAGTTGAAATGCTGGATTTTTGCCTAAAAGCTCTTGCAGATCGGTTAGTTGAAATTGCTCTGCATCTGGATTTTCGTTGCCGGGAATTGATTTTTGGATGATTTCTTCGCTGGTCTTAGCGTCAAGTCCTAACTTGTCTTTAAGGGTATTGGGCGAAATGTAAATTAACTGAGTCTGTTGGTCTTGTCGTTCAGAATTTGTCAATTCTTCTTTGTGTTCGCTTCCCGCCGCAGCTGAATCAATTGCGTTTTTGTTGCCTCTCAATATTTCCTTCGTCTTAAGTGATTGCGAAAAATGACGACTTCTTCTGTAGCTGTTTGTGGCTGGTTTTGGTGCTGAAGGATACAAGAAACTTGGCTGGAACGGTTTCCAGTCGTTGTTGGCGTCATCAGAGTGGAAGCTCTTGGCTACAGGATGACGATGTGCTAACGAATCGGAACTTCTTCTCAAATTCCGGAAATCTGCTTGCTGCTGGCGATCGTATCTCGATTTCAAGCGATCCTGTTGCTGTGATGGCTGATAATTGGAAACCGCAGGTGGTTGGAAACTGGCAGTCGATTCAGATTTTCCTAAGTGTCTGGCAGTTCTTTTGTATACTGGTGGTTGCTCGTCCAACTCTTCGTAGACTTGGGGCTCGTGCATTGCGGTAACTGTTACACTCAGGTACACAATGACTAGCTGTAAGGAATGAAATTAATTGTTACTACTGAGTTTTTGCTTTTTGTTGATAAAGGGTTTGTTGTAAGTTTATAAGGAAGCAGTAAATTGAGAAAAATAATAACCGCTCGACTCTTGGCGCATTTGCAACAATGAAAATTGACCTGCATTTAATTCGTCAAATCTTTGCAGAGAAAAACATATTCAATATCTTTTATTCTTTTGTTAATCGTTTCACCGAAACCAGCTTTTCATAATTCATTAACAATAAACAATTCGATTTAAATTAGAAAAATTATTACTCCAAACGCTTAATATCAGACTTAATAACTGTGGGAAGTATTGTGTCAGGAAAGAAAGTGAACGTGTTGTGAATTTCGATTCAACATCTGCAAAATGGTTTCTTTTTTGGTCATTTCTTTTAAACCTGAATTCAAACAACTCCAATTCATGTCGTGGATTAATCATATGGGATTTCTGAAATATTCTGAACGATTAACTAAAAAACTAATTAGTTTTTCATTCTAGCTCTAACGGAAATATTGCCGCCGGTAATAACGTTATGATTTACAACTGAATTCAATTTCATTTTGAGATTATTTTTTATTTTTTTTTTAGTTGAATAAACTTGCTAAACAGAAATTGACGTGCCATTTAATTTTCCAATTATGTATAAAATATTTGCATTAAATCGATGAACATTTGATCACTCTCTTTTTTTTAGAACACTTTCTACTACTTGTTCTGAACAAAAAAACGCGGTTTTTATTATTATCGAGCGTCGATCTTTACGTTGCGGATGTAATTTGCTGCAAGTTTTAAATGCGAAAATAATGGCACTACATTCATTTTATGATTTAGTTTTTTCTTAGGGAATAGTGAGTATATTTTAATTGGGTTTAGTTGATATTTATAATTTTTTAACTATCACATTTGAAAACTATCAGTTTTTCGAAAATTGAGCAAAAATATTTTCAGTTTCTGAGGAAACATTTGACAAATTTACAAATGGGAGTGGGAAGTTATCCATACATTTTTTTAGAGCGACTATATTTTGCGGAAAACTGCAAATGCCGGTATTATTGAACAGCATCTTTAAAGAAATTCGTTGCACAGAAAACAGCAAAACTATTTTGGAAGGATTTTGTTTCCATTGTCTCCTGTCTCATTGCCCTTTAACGTAAAACTAATTAATTGGAAAGGATAATAAGATATACTTTCCTGTTCATAAAAATGAAAACAATTAAGAATAATCCATAAACTTACTTATACTTACATTCAGTCAACTGAAAATTTATAGCATATAATTTGTATTAAAAGTTTTATCTTTTTGAATATGTAAAAATATTTTAAGACTTAATATACTTCTTAGTTAGTCCACGAATATTATCTGAATAAAATTTAGTTATGGGTATATATTATTAAAGTAGTTTAACAAAAAATATAATTTTTTACACTTACAAATTCTATTCTGAGGTTCATCTTGAGGCTCTTCAAGCACAACCACTTCACCACGACTAAATGAACGACCTTGCACTTGGACGTCAAGTGTAAGTCTGTCTGAATCTTTAACTTTCTTTTCTATATCAGTTGCATCTTCCATATACAGAATCTTCATTCTTCTCCTACTCAAATGTCGCATTTCTCTCACACGTCTAATAGTCAGAAGTCAAATGTACAGAATATGTTTGAACAAGTTTAGCACAAATTTGCTATTTAATGTGATAAAATTGGTTCATGTGTGCCTTTTATGAAATTGAAGCGGAGAAGTGCGGTTTATGTATTTATAAGTATATTTTTAAACTTGATGCAAGTTATTGCTTAACTTCTGCTGGTCTGGTTGTGCGTTTTTATCTTTAAAAATAATTCGTTGTTTGAAATGAAGGAAAATATTAATTTTTATTAGTTTATTAAGATACTAGATTGATCTGTCTGCTTGCATTTGTACTTATCTTATAATGTTTTTCATATTTCGCCTTGAGTTGTGACTCTGAACTCCGGTCCAAATATCATTTATTTTAATTAACTTTACGCTTTTAACCATTGATTAGTTAGAATTTCTGTGTATATATTATTTGCCCTCAGACTAAGGAAGAGAATGTGAATCGAATACAATATGGTACCTAAATATTTGACTTTTAAATCAGTAAAAGTAGAAAAAAAAATTAGTGATTGCGTATATAGTTCGGTGTTTTATAACAAACCAATAAAATACAAATTCAGATGTATGCACTTACCTTCTTAATTATGATTTCGGGTTGGAGGAAGTTCAGATAAGTACATATTTCTACTAAGTGCTTTCTTAGGATATTAATAATTAAGATAATGCGAACAAATTAAATTTCGGGTTTATTTTGCTAAACACATATCTGTGTATTTTTTGAAATAAATTTCTAAACATTAAATAATAAAAGTTACGTTATTATTACATTATTAACATTAAATGTTAATATGTATTATGTATGATAAAATAATAGACCTTGAACTAAATACGGGTGTATAAATAATGGCAACAATAAGTTAAGGGAGGTCTAATAGTATAGCAATTTAACTGAACATCGCAGTTATAGAGAAAGTTTTTTTTTCAGATGAATAAAAAAGTAAATCTTATAAAACTTCAAGTACTTTTCTTTTGATTTTAATTAATTATTGTGTTTTTTGTGAATTTATTGTGAATAAAGAAACACGTAAAAACCTGCATTTTCGTAATTATCATTACCTTTCAGATATGTAATTTATTTATATTTTTAATAATTTATAAATTATTAACTTTCAGTATTTTAAGCGATCTTACAAGGACCAAAACCCAGACTTAATATTTTTAGTTGCAACATGTAGCTTTATCATAAATTCCAACCATAAGCTTTTCAACATGCTAACGTTTCCTCAAGTTAAAATTTTTGAAAACGAAACTAATATCGGATTACATACATTCAATGGTTCTAGTTCTCCGCGGTTTATTGCGAAATCACACAGCATCTGGGTTGCGATCGATTTCAATTTTCTATTAATTATTCGAAGGTTTTTATTAATTTTAACACAGCTTCCTGTATTTTAAGAGATTTTTAATATAAGTTGAAAATTCCAATAATTCGAAAGGGTAGAGCTTGGATCTTTCAGAACTTCAATGTTTTCATCTGATGAAACTAATGTTTTCAAAGGTATTTTTAAATAAACACGTATATATTTCCTTTATGAATTAAAACAATTATAAAGTCCGGCCGATTAAACTTTTCCTATTGCGCTTGGAACTGTACTCAAGCGCGTGGTGCTCATCTCATGTAGAAAAATCTTTGTCAGTTTTGTTTTATAACATAAGTAATACAAAGATGGCTTTATCGGGACTTGGGAATATAATGAAATACAAATAAATATTATCAAGAAGTGAGAAAGGATAATTGCAATATTGTTCAAGTAAACAGCTTATCAGGAAAATAAATTACAAAATTATATTGAGTAAGTAACAAATTTAATGCAATATTGTTAGACTAGAAGTTACAAAAATAAACATAATATTTACATTATACAACATATTTAACATTAGCTTTGGTAATTTTTTTGGTATTAAACAATGCAACTGTACAATAATAAGTTCATTAATCAATAATAAATATGTCAAATTTGTATGTACATTTTGTACAGTTTTTTATACACATTTAATAACTTCATCTGAAACTGTTTAAGTGTGATTTCAGTAATAAATTATTAGCTTTTGGAACCTATTTAATTTATGTCTAGGTTTATCACAGATGGCTCACGTGGTCAGAAGCAGCGAGAACATTAAAGTACACCCAAGTAGAACCACGGAGTTTATGCGATTGCTTCCATTCTCTGAAAATAAAGAAAACTTTGAGAATCACTTGTTTTTTATCATGTTTTAGAAGGTGTTTTATTAGTAATTAGGACGAAAACAACAGCAGTTTTAAATAAAGACTGCTGTACTAAAAAAAATACTACATGTGTTTTCATACAAGTCTGGAAACCTGACACAATGCGGGGAGTGCTGCTCGCTTTCTTGAATTTTTTGTCAAACTGATTCAAATAGAAATGTTTTGTTATATTTCGGGCTTATATCGCTGCTGGGCTTCTTATGCTAATAATGAGTAGGTTTGTTTAAATCGTAAGCTTAAGTATCAAATAAACCACAACAAAAAATATAGTTAACAAATACTTTTTAAGTCAATTGCTTGTTGACTGAAAAATTATGAAACATTGCAGATTATATGTAAAGACAAGACAGCAACCATTGACCTTTTCTCCTGTAAAGTTACTTCTAAGTTACAGTTTTAGTACCATCAGCGTGCTTCAAAATTAATAAAGCGCATTAATAAATTTAAATTTATTTTAGTTGGTATGTATTAATTTTTCATTCGTTGACTTTGAAGAATCTTTGGAAGCCTCAACATAAATAACGTTTATTTCCTCCATGTATCTCCAACCACATCAAGCTACATAAAATTCAAAAAACTTACGAACTCCATTATTGTTAGTAAATTATGAACAACCTGACAAATATGCAACTGATAACTGAACAGAACACACCATGCACGATGAATACTTTCTAGTACCTATATCTTCACTAGGACTTTCCTCTGTGAAGTTAGATGGGTAATTAAAACTTGCGTACTCCTCATTCAACAGCTCAAAGGGGGAGGGTTCTTCCTCATAGTCTAACAGTGTGAGATAAATAAAAATGGGTTATTAGCCAGATAGCAGAATGAGTCAGATTTTGGTGTGAGTATCGGGTGCATGTGCTCAAGCAATAATTTTGCGGCAAATGTGGATTTAGGAATAAAAATTTTGAATTTTGCGAATAGTACAAAGGAGGTTTTCGCCGTATATTTTCACTCTTGTCATATCAGTGTCTTTGATGCAGCCTTTTTCGTTAAACCATCCTTACCGACAAAATGCTCCATTGACCTGGTATCTGAATAGTTTGTTCCCGGTATACTGAGCAAACAGCTAAACTTCGTTGTTCCTGGTTCCAGATAACTAGAATTGAATGAAATCCGAATCGATACATTGTAGGAGTCGTCCTCATTGGGAATTTCCTCTCTGATGGGGTTGAACAGCTCCAAGTCGTCCAAAGAACCGTTACTAAAAAAAAGACATGTTAACTAAGCGAAATGAAGAAAAGTACCGATTTTAAGTGCATTAATTGCCTACATTCTACTCTCAATTTGTTTTTATTTGAAGGTTTCATACCTGCCCGAAACGTGCAAAGAAAAATCCGGTCTGGGTGAAATATTGGTTGCTTCGCATAGCACAACTTCGTCTCCTTGAAACTGGTCTTCTACACCAAAAAGAAATATCTGAAATGATGTGGCTGGAGCTGAAACAAAATTGACATTTTTATTTTCTGCTATAGAAAACAGATTTCAGTTTCAAAAGTTCTGAATTCTTATAATAGCAACAGCTAAAATATTACTTTTTCATATTCAATCTACATTTGAATAGATTTCTAGAATTTTTAGAAGTCTATTTCAAATCCGATTTAATATTTACAAACCCGTATTTTATCCTCACTTGTGTTATTTATTCTCAGTTGCGCATAATTTTTATTATGGAAATTTGCTTACCTTGTCTATCAAGAAGTTCCCATTTTGTTTATTAGCGTTTAATTAAAATCTGTTTATTTCGCAATAATTGATTTTTTTGTTATGGGTAGATGAGTTTTCCGGAATTCCGGCAGTTATTTTGGCAATGTTGGAAGTAGCACAGTAAAATTTCAAGTGTGTGCATAGTTGTTTTTCAATTTTTAAAAAGATATTCACTTAATCGCAATTGCGAAGGAGTTTCAAACTTATGGAAACGACAAACAGAACAGGAAATTTACGTAACAATCATTTGAAATCACAATAAATTACTAGCAACCCAACAAAATCATACATAATTTCGAGTACAAGCTAAGAAATTAGAGTTATTTCCAGCATTTGATTCATATTTCGACAAATTTCCGCAAAATTAGCTTGGACTTTAAGACCAGATAAAAGGAATTGGTCGGATGGTTGGGTTTGGAACGTATAATTGAGAAATGTTCTTACTAAATGGACAGTTTTTTTGTTTTCAATTTTAAGTTTTTATCAATAGTTTCAATTTCATATCCTCTTCAATCGTATTAATAATGGAATTGCAAACATTGTAATTACTTGATGAACATTTTTCTTTAATACAAATAACAAATAGGAAATTTTTCTACTAAGTTGAAAAATGTACAGCTTTTATAGGCTAAGAATTCATTGGAATTTTTAATTTATTTAATTGCTACAGGTTGTACAGGTTGTTTTATCCTTGTAAATTTTCTTACTTCCATTTAATTTTTCGTTAAGTTTTCGCGAAAGTAAACATTAAATTGCATGCATTCGATTCGCTTACTGTAGCAGCTGCAAATCTTTTCCATACGATAGGAGTATTGAGCAACTAAAACCTAAAAGTGACAATTGCTCCCTTTAAATTTATAACTGAATCAGGAAAGCTATTTTTTTTGTTAACAATTTGAAATCCATTTTTATTTCGCGTTGCAAGAACTGAAACTCTTTTAAAATAAACTTTTGCGACTGATAGAAAACTTGAGCTGTTATAACTTTTGGCCGCAAATTTTCAAAAAATTAACTGACCAAATCGCCTATAATTGGAGAACATAAATACTGAATTTTAGAAAGTACTTCATGCTCTAACAGTTGTCTAAAATCGGTTCATAATTGGCTACTTTTACGAATAATATTGGCCGTTTTCTTCATAATTGAAGTATGATCGTCTAATGAAACCATTGAAAAAGTATAACACATAATGTTTTTAGACCAGCGACTTAATAGCTGTTCATTTGCATGTTATTTTTATAAAACTTCATTTCCTTAAGGTTGGCTCGTGCCGTGCTGTTACCCATGGTTGCTTTCATACAAAGACATCTGCCCATTCTGTTTCTTAGAATATTCGAAAAGTGTATTGTGGACAAGATAATATGACCTAGTCTGACATTACATTATTGGATTATTTCTAATGAATTTAATTACATCTTTTTTTAATTATTTTCAGGCAGATTAATGTATGTTTGTAATTTGCAACAGTAGAACAGTAGTTCGATTATTAAGTTAATTATATTTAATATATATAATTTAAGCAATGTAAACATTTTTTCGGCTTATCAGAAGTTGAGTTTCAGTTAGATGAATACTTAATTTAAATAGTAAGTGAAAAGCGTATTTTGACAAAAAAGAGTGAGTTAATGTTGAGTAAAACCAGTATGTTGGAGAACTCTTTCGCTAAAGCTTCAACAAAAGTGTTTCTTCAAATGTTCATAGAAATTTCCTATTTTGGAAAAAGAGCAATATACTAAAAGGAAATGAGAACACCATTAAAAATTAGGTGTGACTTGTGAATGTGTAGCAAAATTCGTCTTAGCTGTTCCCAATCCGGATCTAAAGTGTAGGTGTATTAAATTGTCTTCAAATCTATAAGATTAACAAAATTAAATCGAAACACTTGAAAGAATTTCAAAATTTCCTGAATGATGAATGAATCTAATGCAATTAGGGAATACAGAAAAACTACTTACAATAAACAATCACTTGTTTCGTGAGCCATTTGACCTCATCTGCTGTATCCACTTTGCACGTATAATTTCCCGAGAGTGCTGAATCCACATCTTTAAACCTCAGAGCACGCATCATTGAATTGGGATCATCAGAAACTTTATATGTGGGGTCAATGAGATCTTTTAAAGATCCCATAGCGTAGGCGTTCTTGTTCAGAGCAATCCACTGGTAAATTTGATCTTCCATCCCATTGTAAAACCATTTGAGAACCACATCCTCTTCGCCGTTGGCTTCAAAGTCACAATCTAAGATCAGTTCATCTGTTGAACCGCTTTCCACCGAGTCTGGACCGACGATTTCGTTCATTATTAGAGTGGCATATGCTGAAAAAGTAAAAAATCTCCAGTAAATTGATGATGTAAAGTTTCTAAATCACACGTTTGCTGGGATTTTGTTATTAGTTCTGGTTAACTTGCCAAGAGTAATACAATAAATTGATTAAGAAATCCAGATCAGCCGTTTATAAATGAACTACCAATGGTGGATTAAAAATAACTTTTATTTCTACCAGATGTGACTAATAAATCGATCAAATCTGTGATATGGAAAAGCTATTTTCAGATGTCAATCAAACCAGGAATTTTCCAGGGTTTTCCTACAATACAAGTTTTGAGAAACTTCGTTCATGGGTTTCTGATATAAATAAAAGTTAGATCATTTTGCAACACTTGGATCGTTGCCATCCCATTACGTTTGATAGTGAGTGATTTTTGTTTAGTGCTAACAAATACTGCAGACACGCAACAGGCTAATTTGATGCAAACTATACAAAGGAACCGAAATCATGTTCCTGTTTAATAGAAATAGAAATGGGAACATCCCTATTTATATTGAATATTTAGAGATGATTCTTTTTTAAATTAAATTATTGCAGATTATGCATAAACATTTGCAATACAAAAGCCCGTTTCACCAGATGTAAAAAACAAATCTTTTTGTGGTAGGAGTATAATAATTATAATATGATAATCATTGATACATATTTTTTAAAACGTTTTTCAAGCACATTCTCCCAAGTTGATTGCACGTTAATTATCGACTGTGGTGTATATTTTTATATTTTCTGCATTTTTTTCATCATTTTCTGCTCGTTGTACTTTGGAAATTGGTATTAAACAATCTTGAAACATTTGGATTGCTTGATAAAATAGATTCTTTTATTTTCCTATTTGAAAGCATCTTCCTCTACAAGATAAAGTCCAAGAACAGCATTTTTGATGCTAGTTGACCACCAGGTATTTTCTATAAAATTCTTCATGTTGGATCCATATGAACTTTTCCATTTCTCTTTTGTATAAACATTTCTGAGGGTGATCTGTACCGTTAATATATCTACTATACAATTATCGATAATTATTACAACAGCAACAAAGAAAAATTTTAAACAGAAACGGAATTGAGTGAGAATATTTGTCGAAGTTAAACACTTTAATTCTTGGTCTGGCTCGCATTATATTCACGCCTATTTATAAAAGAATCTAGCAAAACTTGGTTTGGTTAATGACTTCGGAGTCTCTAATGTACATTAAAAACCAAACAGATTTTCTTGATTTGCAACAAATTTATTAGTGAGAGAAGCGGACTATGTGGTTCTTTTCCTGTAATAGTTTGACCATTTTCCTTCTTTTATGTGACAAATTATAATTATAGCTAAACGTTTTGCAAACCTGATTATTATTTGTCTGCCACATTTTCAAATACTTTTCTACTGTTTTTTTTCAAACGCCATTTGAAAAGGTTTAATACTTTAATAGCACCCGCATACTTATAGATGAGCATCCTGAGAAATTCGATACTTCTTTAAAATAATATAAGTGTAGTTGTGTCTGTAACCATATACTCTAACAACTACTTTAGGCCTTTTGTAACATTGTTTCGCAGGAAATCCTGAATTAAAACTGAAAGTGTTTAAACTGAATTTAACACTATTTTCCTTTCAGTGTACATGAAACACAATTATATTGGCTGCTCTGTCAGTCAATGTTAATGCGTATTAATCGTGCTAAGACCCAACCATAAAAATACCAATATCTAAAAATATAGGGGTTATTTATGGCAGACCTCGTAAAAATGGGAAGAGGGACTGACATCATCCAAGTTAATTAAATATTGAATTATTGAGGCACAACAGCTTTACTGCTGAAAGCTTACAACCTTTTTCTGATTAGATCGGTAGATCGATTTCTACCAAGAATTCAACATTTAGCAATAAGAAAATCTGCAAATGCCACGAATGTTTCGGTTTATTATCGAGAGCGCGTTTTTAGCTTTAGCTCAAGTCGTTACAAATTTGATCAATGTTTTTTCTGTCGGTATAAATTTTTAAAATATTTGATTTATGTTCTCATCTTCTTTCACTCAATATGCCTCTCAAACTAATCGCAACTTGCTTGATATTAATAAATTATTTGATTAAGAGCGAGTTATTATTATTATTATTATAAATAAGAAACAATGTTAAATGCAATCCACATAAAACGACTCTATGTTTTTTAACTCAACCATTTTTATCTTTTAATAACCCATATATAAAGTTGTACTGTTTACCCTGTTGAGTGTATTTAACAGAAAATTCGATAATGAACTAATTTGATGAATTTATAGTGCACTATTTCGAAGTGACATTGTGTTTTCATAGAACACATATGAAAAATTGGGAAAGTATTTTATTTGTATAAAAATAACATTTTTCAAAACTCTTTCATTTTTAGCTCTTAATTGGCAAATTCTCCTAATCATTTAATGCGTGAAAATTGCAGAAAAATATTTGTGTAATCATAGAACCCACAGAAATGAGTAAGCGAAAAGTTTGTCTTACATTTATATCCCGAAATTTAAATGCAAGTACAGTTCAGTTGAACTCAGACTATGCATTTGAATGCAAATGGAATTGAAAAGTTCGTTAGCTGCATTGATTTCGGATTATGAATTCGATTTTCGAACTTATAGAATGTTTTCTCCATTTTTGTGTGCTTGAACTCAGTTGCTATTCTCATTTATTTGGAAGGATTTTTAATTTACAATTGTTTGTAGAAGGCGAAGTTTGAATAAGAGAAATTATAGTATTAGAAAATGCAAAAAGTCCTTAGAATGATTCATGCGTCTGTTTACGAAAATTAGTCACATTTTTCATCTTCAATTATATAATATGTAAGTACGTATTTTTGTTTTGTTTCTGTATATGTGCCTGCACAATTTTTAAGAGATTGAGGTCTAATTTGAGATCTGATTAGCGTGTTTGGGGTCTGCTGTCGTCGCCAAAAAGACAAAAAAACTGTACACAATGAAAGTAAAAAAACTTAGTAAACATATACTTATAGCGTGTCTCATAACAATAATAAGAATAACAAGAATGGATATGGACAATTTTTTTAAAATTTATATAATTTTGTATGATATACCCATCTGAAAATGTATATAAAATACATATATTTATATGCAAATTCATAAACATTCTTCCTGTGCTATAAAACAAGACCCAACAGAATAAATGTTTTAAAATAAATTGTGTTGCATATTTTCAATAATGCAGTAATTATAAAGGCAAATTTAAACAAGCTAGAAGTAGACATTTATTTATACAAACTTTTAGTCTGGAAATAATTTTGAAACCACCTGAATATTCGTTTGGAAACGGTGAATAAAAAGGTGACAATACAACTGTTTTTGAAGTTACGAATTCTAGTTGAACAAAGACACCGCTGAAGTTAATAAACACACACATAACAGGCAGTGCGATAAGTCATTGTTATAGTTCAGTTAATGTAACTGATATGTTGTAACGAGTTACTGAAATTACTGTCATTTAACATGTAGTCTGACTCATGATATTTAAATAATTTATATGGGTTCTGACATTTTTGTTTCCGGTCAAGAGTCCTCTTGGTCTGGGGTTCATTAATTATATTTCAAACATTAACCATGCACTTACGGGAAAAAAATGTGATTGAAAGCGTTCGCCATGTGGTTTCAATTAAAAAAGTCTGCAGATTTAATAGTGACATCAGACTAGACGGGTATTTTTAGCTGTTTAACTTATTTTCTATCCTACGCTGGGGTTCCGCTATTATTCAATGGAGGAACCATGCTTTCTTAACTGTTATTTTTGCCATCGATTGTCGAATTTTAGCCAAAGGAAGCAAACTGTAATTAGAACAATATTACAAATTCCCGCACTGTCGGCTCCATCAGTTACTGTATACAAATAAGTAAAACTATCTACTTGTGCTTTTCCGGCAGAAATCAAAGCTTTGAATGTTTGTTGAGGTCGATGGATCAACGTGCATCTATAGGCTGTTTGAGTTGATAATGGGGAAAATATCGTCGACTAGCAATCGAAATTTTATTTATATTATCATAAATTCTTCTACTGTCTGCAATATGAAAACATGTACCAAGACTGTCTTCTTGTTCAGTATATTCGCTTTTTGCATCTTTTGAAATTAGTTGTTCCGTTTGAAAATATCATAGAAATAATTTTCCCGAGGAAATTTCGTTGTACAATCGTGTTCTTTATAATTATTGAATAAATTAACAGCAAGAGAAGGGTGTAATAATTTCTTTGTGAAATCATCAGACCACAATCTGCTCTGCTCCACGTTAAGAGAAAATCTGAAGAAAGTAGAAATATCATCGAAGTCAAGAAAACTATCGTTAGAAACAATGAAAGACACCAACTTGCTGATGAAATAAACAAGATATACAGCATAAAAACGATATCTAACGAATAAAAAACTATTGATAAAAATTGTACAGGCAGTCAAACTTCCATTATTCAAATAGCAACGGATCTAATACCACGCCCGAAAAGAACAGCTAAAAAGAAGTGGATGAGGCAAGAAATTGTAAAATTTTTGTCTAGCAAAAATTTGTAAAACGGAAAATTACTTATTGAGTTTTTGTCGCATTATAAAATCGCAAATGTTCTCTTCTGTAAAAATTACTAAAACATCAATTGACTTTGATGCGAAAGGAAAAGTTTGAGAGGAAATATTGAACAGATTTTCGGTACGGTTTTCAGGTATAATAATTTATGTCGGGCAATATAAGAAGAATAATCCGATATCGCTGCAAGATATGTTTCCTATTTACAAACATTTTTCGAAATTTTATTTAAAAAAAGGATTGTCTGCTGACTTTACAAATCCTTACCGGATTGTTTCGTTTCCTTGCAAGCAAAATGACTAGTACTCAATAGAACTTAGGAAAAAATCAAGGAGGTGTAAATCAGGGCTTTCAGGAAATTAATGCAACTGAAATTTTATCAACGAATAAAATATTATAAAACAGTTTGAAAAATATGGAATTTGCATAAATGGGACGT